GTCATTTCTTAGAATTTAAGACCTTTCCATGCTTTAATTTCTGATCATTTGGATGGTTCATGATGTCATTTTGGCTTGGCAGAAAGAAATTACTTTTCTGTTCTTAACATCCTGGCACATTATGAGTTTGCCTGTGATTAACTGATTTATAATTTCCGATTTCCTCAGCTTGTCTAGTATGTGTCCTTTCCTAGATAGATCAAATTATTTGATAGTGGAAGAGCGAAAAGTGGATTTAGGAAGATTCATGAGTGTAGAGGGACATGTTCGACATATAATTTGTGCTTTTATTTACATAATGCCGCGATGTACTCTGTTAATTAAATATTAGCAGGGAATTTCTAATTATCATAAATTAGTAACAAACGTTGTGCAAGAAGAGAAAAGAGAACTGTTGAGAAGTGTAAGCCGTAAGATTATTTGGTCTTATGTTAAACATTATCACTGAAGATAATGAATATGAGCAATTTTGTATTTGTTAATCCTTCTAGGTGTTTATCAGATAAAATCTTATATTTCTTAATCACATCTTTTAAAATATAACTTTGTAATTGAAAATTACGAGTATCTGAACTTTATGAATATCATTTGCTATTTGTTAATTGATTAAGACAAGTAGAAAGAAAAATCAGTACCTTAATTGGATAGTAGTGGTTTAAAGGTATATGTCTTGCATTTTTTCTTGGAATATCATCTATAAGTATATTTGATATGTAATTGGCACCCTATCTTCGAAATAATTTGAAATATATATTTCTTTACCTTACAAATTTTACACAACTTATTTTGAAATAATTGCTCCGATTAAAAGATAAAACGATAAATTTTATTTTAATGATGATTAAACGATTATGTTGCAAATTGTAGAAAATGACAATTCATTATATCATATTGTTATTAATTAAATAACTTAATGATATCACTTTTGTTTAGTGTGTTTGCTTTGTTATAAAAATTTATATGTAAAAAGAAATATTCATAAACTGTTGCATATTACTATATTACTACAATATCTTTGTACTTAACAATTCCCACTGTTAGAATCTTTTCGAACTGATCCAAAAATGATGGTATCAGTGTCAAATATAGCAATGGCGAAAGATTTTGTTACAACAGTTATTCTAAATAATCTGTAAACATTAACATCAGTTCTGTATTATTAAGCTTAAATGCTTTCCATCCTTGAAATAATTTGAAATAAATATTTCATCGTGCACCAATATAGGGAAATTTGCGATGAGATGAGTTCATTGAGAGCATCGATTACACTTTTCCATCGTTAGAAGTTTTATTGATTGCTATCAATTGATCATCTAATTTCTTTTCCAGCCAGTAAGTTAGCAAAACTCCTTTACCCTGGAACAATTCAAAAAAAAAATAGTTCTTAAGTTTATCAAAATTCCAGGACTGTTTAGGAAATGAAAGTAAGACCGTCCTCAATCAAATATCACTACAATGACAGCTTTTCAAATTTCTGTAATTTTTATTTAAATAAGTTTTGAATATCAAATACCTTTATTTCCACCATTCCTCTTTCTTGGCAAACATAAAATGGGTAATGAATCATCAAAAAGTTCCGGGCATCCGAACTGATCTGTATTTTACCAGGAAAACCCGTACTTTCCATTCGAGATGCTTCATTCACCTCAATAACAATACACTCATTTCAATTAACTTTAAATAACTCCAGTAAAATCATAAAATATTTCAAATCATTTGTATTTTCAAAAAATTTATCCAAAAGTCGAGTTTCTTTTCTCTCTGAACAGCGCTTTTATAATCTATCATTTTAACCATATATTAGTTTTAATAACTTTGTCTGGAGAAATAAAGAGCAATATGCGCAAACCGTGTCACCAAAAAGACAGTAGCGGGGCGATGTAACTCCTACAACCCCGGCAGCTGCAGGACCAGTATGGAAACCCCAACGACACTGCAGTTTATCTGGTCGATGTGGTACCTGATAGCTATCCAGATACTGTAATGTAGATGATATATCTGAGGACTGATTTAAGAAATGATTTCGGTTACTTTTGATGACAAAGGAATAGACTTATAGGAACAATAAATTCCACTAAACACCAGAAAACGGATCACTAATAGCAGAAGAAAAATTTTTTTCGGGTTGACAAATGATATACTTTGCATCCAAAATGATTTCCCTCATAATGACTAACTTTTCTCATATCCAAAGCGACATCAGCAATGCACTGAATGTGTTTGGCACCATTTTCCTCAGGTATTCCCGAAACAACCATATAGGCATCACCAATTGTTTCCACCTGAGATCGAGAAATTTGTTAAACAAGATCTCATTGAAATAAATTTAACAACATCTGCAATATATTTGATAAACCTTATATGCTCCGCTGCGACTAATGCATTCATCAAAGCCGCTGTATAAACCATTCAACATTGTGACAACTTCCAAAGGTGTTGAAGAAGAGCAAATCTTTGTGAAACCAACAATATCCGAAAATAACACGGTTGCCATCTCAAATAATTTGGGAGGAACAGAATGACCAAGTTTGAGTTCATTTGCAACATACCTTCAAGTGATTGAGTTTTACAAACTTACATAAAAACAAAGACTTCGGCTAAAATTTATGAGTTATTTGATAAGGAAAAACTTTACGATGGGAGTAATTGTGACAGTAATTTATCAGCTCGCATATTCGCTTCTTCAAGCATTGCAGTTCGATCAGCGACTAACTTTTCCAGATTTGTGGCATACTGTTCCATTACTGACATCATTTGATCAACCAAACTGCCTTTCCTGGCAATAATTAAAATCAAATAAATTTCGAAATGATGTAATAAGCATTGCATCATTTGCTAAATAATCTGTTTATTGGAAAAAAAGAGAAAACGAACACTTTTAGGACCATCATTGTATTTAATCGAACACGTCGTATTGTCGGCCTAACTTCCAAATTTTCAGACCAGCAATCTTCCAAAAGTGCGCACAGATCGGGATGCACATTCCCGGAATGAATTATATGCGGTATATATGTTCTGCTACCACTCGATACTGCATCTATCAATTCTGTAATTCCACCCCAATATTTTCAAGTGTTACATTACTTTCTGTTCGGATGAAGTTAAAAATAGATCTAATTTTAAATGAAATGAATGGATGGCAATACTTTGGACATAACTGGCAACTATCCGGTATGAAGTAAGCATCTGAATAAATGAACAATTCAGCATTATGAAGATGGAAAGGGGAACGAAATTTTTTAAATTGTAATTTGATAAAGGAGTATATATATATATACCATTTATATCCGTGCCTTCTGGATAAGGCAGAGATCGAAAAAGAATTTCATGCATGACCATCCCGAATGAATAAATGTCGCCAGCTTGTCGATGAATTTTTGATTGCTTTTTCCAATCGTGATCCTTTACAGATCGTCGATTCAAATCTCGATTTTTCAACATTTCAGGGGCGCAATAAAGTAAAGCTGTAGGGGTTTGTTACAATGTGACTTGAAAATAAAAATTAGCATGCCTATCTCAAAATTGTAAGAAGTTAAATGTAACAAGAGGTAAAAATGTGGAAGAGATACTGATCTAACACCAAATAAGTTGACCAATGAGTTTAAGATCAGTGAAATTTGAAAACGATACACATTCCTACGTTGGCCACATTCAGATGGCAAATGTAGTTCAGGCCTAGTTAATTAAATAAGAATTCAAAGAAAATGGCAATTAACTAGTGTGCTATTTGCTAAAAGAAAAGCGTACATGTCTTTTGTTTAGCTCCACTTTTGTCATCATCCGAAGTAAGAGCATTTATTGAAATCCATCCTTGCTTTTCCCATCGTTCAATTGGATCTGCAATCCCGAAATCGGTTAACTTTACCATCCAGTTACGGTCGATCAGACATGCCCACGGTGATAACGATCCATGATAACCGATTGGCGAAGAGTGCAAGTATTCTAAACCCTGAATTTTAAACTTTTAGTACAGTCAGATTCTCTTTGCAGCATAAAATTTGATTAAAAAAAGATTGAATAAATTGAAAATTTAAACTAGTCAGTTTTTGACTGCAATAACTTAATATTTAATAAGTACATAAGTCATCTACATTAGCCAAAAAATCTTGGTCTAGTGAAAAATGGAAATTATTGCTATCAAAGCACCAATTACCTGCGTAATATCATGAATAAATGCTGCATGGAACTTTTCATCCAAGGTTAAATTTTGATTATAAATGATATCCTGAAAGCAAAAAGTTTTATTCTGTGTTTTTTTTTGTGCTAAATGTTGAATTTATAAATCATTAGATATTTTACAACTTTAAAATTAAATCAATCAGAAAAGTTATTGTACTTGTATGGTTCCTCTTGAACAAAATTTCCAAATTATAAACATATTTTCTCCATGGTTAAACGCCATTCCAATAAATATGTTCAAATTATCGTGTATTGCTGCCTTCATCTGTGAATATCAAAGCAGAAATACCATAAAGACGAAATAAAAATGACAAATAACAAACATACACACAAAAAAAATGATAAAATCTCAAGAGAATAAATCAGTGAAAATGAATGGTTAATGTTGGCGGCAAACATATATTCTCTTATTTTACTGTCTTTCAACTTCATGATTCTCAGTTTCTGAAGTAATTTAGAACAGTTAAAAGTTTCATAAAACTATGAAAGGAACAAATTACTTGTGAGAGAAGTTTTAAGTCTTCTCGATCGAATTTTATTGGACGTCGCTGTGGGTAAAGATGATAAGTAGCGTGAGTATTAACGCCAACGAGTGCATGCATTTTTTGCCCAATACTTGTTTTACTCATTTTTGTAGTCGAACTTCCCAACGATTTCTAAAACAAAATTTTCGAAAATACGACTCTCTAAACTTAAGTATTTTCTATTTACCTGCTCAATCTTTCTATTTATTCATTTATCTTTGCTGATTACAAGTGTGATGAGAAACGAGCAGTTTAATAATAGAGGATGTTCTTTTGTTCTTTGACCTTTTCTGACCAATAAAATTTTGCTACAATCGACACGAAGCCGTGTAACGTTTAATTGCTTCACAATGATAAGATTCATAGAAATGAACAGTTTGAAAAAAAATTGATGATATATTTTTTAAATTCAAAATTTCCTTATTTTGACAATTTGATTCATATTTTTAAGTACCTACCATTGACTTTAGTTGTTCGTCATCCAGTATTTTGATATCATCCCTGTATATACGCCAAGGCATTTTACGAAGAGAGCGTGATTCACTGCAAAAAAACATGATATGGATTATTAATATAATATGTATGGATTAAAGAGAATCCGAAAAAAAAATTTGAATTTCGTTTTGATTGAAAAACTTATACTAACCAGTATCGATAAATATAATAAGATAACAAGATAAATATAACAAATGCAATTAGTATACTGCCAGAAATAATTTCGATCAAATGGGAACATTTCTGATTACGAAAACCACAAATGGGTTCATCCAATGGCATCAAACCCTCATTGCTAGGCCAGAATCCTGTCAATACATCTGTTACCTCCTAAAATTGTCCAGGATTCTTGATAAATTGTATAGAAAATGCATATAAATATATTTCAATCTGTTTAAAATGCTTATTTTACAAATTATTTTACATTTTTCCCTGCTGACCATTGATTAATAGAATATGATTTAAAGTTTAAATATAGTTGTATATTCAGCAGAAATAGTATTACATGTTGTGAGCAATGAAAAGACTTTTATTCACAATAAAATGTACAATAAAAAAGTTATCAGTACAGTATCAAAATCCTTAATGTTATTTCCTTAATGTGAATTTATCCGCTCACTTCAAAAAACAAATACTCACCAAATCATAGCATCCAAATTTGCTCACTATTCCACTACAGTTTTGCTTCAATTTCGAGCTTATATTAACAATTTTCGATATTTTTTTTCCACTTGATGGTATAAAAAAAGCTGCCAAATTTGGTAGGCGATCGGCTAAATCATCCATCATAATAGAACCTGTCGTACCTCCTGCAAATAAGTGACGCTTTTAATTGCCTTTTTTCATTGCAACAAGATAACTGAAATTAGTCAAAACCTTCGAATTGCAGATGTCTCATTTTATTCCAAACACGTTTTCCATCAGTTAGGGTCGAAAGGTCATTAGTTTCATTAAAGAGTGCTTGTATGGCATGTACATATAATAACAGTGCATCGTATACGTGTAAGTAGGAATAGAGATTATCCTGAAGCAAAGTAGATGAGAATACTTTTAAATGATACTTCTCTAATTCTGGTCTCATTTATGGATTCAATCATTTACAAAATCACTAGTTAATTTTCGAAATCCGAAGTAGTTAAATCAGAAGTAGTTAAAACCAGAAGTAGTTAAGGAATAATATTTTTGTTAATAAAGCTGCAAATGACCCATTATAACAAATTTAATTGTTAATAGGAGATTTTCATTAAATTACTTTCATTTTACGAGCAGTAAGTTATTATTGAATTAAACATTATCTCATATCTTCATTTGTTTCTTTTATTTCGATTAATTTATGAAATAGTATTTCACTTACCATATCCAAAAAGTCACGCGATAACCCTTTCGATTCAATTTTAGCCAAAAATTTGGCAATATATTCGTGATCAAAACCAGTCGCATCATCAATATAAAAAATTTATGATATTATTAATTCTATTTTTTAAAGTAAACAACTCATTCAACTCAAAATTGGTAAAAAAAAACAAGGAAATGAATGGATATTATCGCCTGATGCAGTCCACGATGTTTCGAATCTGTGCGTTAGAATTTATTGCTCAATTTCCAATCTAACTTTCCCTTTACTCTTAAAAATGAGAATTAGTAAAAAGATGAAATTAATAAAAAGTAAAATAATGGAATACAAGAGGAGACAAAATAATAACAGATCACCGTTAGCAATACAGAATCCACTGGAATAAATTTCTTGGCTAAAATTCTAAAATTCCAGTAGCAAATTTCGGGTAGCAAATTTCAAATGGAAATTAATAGGAATATCTTTGAGTCATTCTTCACTGATCATGTATTAATTATAATTTTAAATTATATGAGTTATCTTTCAACTATTTGCCGATGTCTTTATTATAATTTTAAAAGTGTAATGAATTCAAATTCTTTTTTTTTTTTAAATTTGAAATATTTAGAATATGTACCATGATGACATTTTCATAGTGGCCCCTCACTTTTTGCATGATTTCACCAGAGGTACCAAGCCAAGGTACATCTTCATTCTTTCTATCCCGAATCCACGGTAATATATAGACAAAATCATTTGAGCGCATGCCAGCATTGTACGTTGCAGCCATGAACTCTCTGCTCATTTGAAGCATTGATGAGAAGTAGCAAATGATAACTGTAAAATGAATACCTTCGCTTATTATATCAGCTAAATTGCCATTTTCAGTTCACTTTTTTTGGGAAATAGTATTTTAAATCTCTCTGATTTATTTGATATTCTTCTATTCAATGATGACAGATAAATTAATAATTACAAAATAGTTAAGGAGACACTGCGTCATTGATAAAACATTGCATTATTAAAATCTTGTAGTTGTTAAGAAAATCATTCAAAAATATACACAATTATTTGAAAAAAATACGAAAAAATAATTATTAAAAAAACAAATTCCTAATGTTTCAAATAGTGATGTACTTCTAGCGGTGTCGCGAAGTTGATTGAGTTCACCGCTTGCAATCATTTCTTTTGAGGTAGAATTCGTCTCGAATATCACTTTTTTCAGTATTATTATTTTTTGTCTTTCTAGCGCACGTTCCAAAGTTGCTATGCGATTGATGGCGTCAGGATTTGTTACCACTGCTACCTAAACATTGATAATCATCTATTAACTTTTTTAGACGATGATCAGAGAGTATGATTTTTATGGCTAAAAGATATTCAAGGAGAAATTACCAGGGAAAATCTATTATGTTATCGCTTTCAGAGATTTGGAATAATATTATGCTATTTGGAATAATATTATGCCCTTTTCTACTACCAGCCACACTTAACTATCATTTAGAAACCCACGGAAGTAAAATCGCCTTAGAAATCAGAAAAAATCTCTACCTTGACAATATTATATTACCAACAAAGGAAACTCAAGAAGCACTCGAAAATTATGAAGAAATGAAATCTATTTTCGAAGAACCACCAATGAACGTACGGGAATTTCTTTTAAATGACAACAAATTCAATAAAATTATTCCAAAAACGATCGAGCAGAGATAGGCCAATTAAAGAAAATTCTTAGTGTTAATTGGAATCCCAAGAAAGATGTATTCCAAATCATCTTAAATCCATAGAGTGGGAAGAAATAGATGAAAAGAACAATTTTACAGTTCATAGCTCAATACGACCCAATGAGATTCCTCGTTCCAACGATGATTCAATTCTAATTATTCCTTCAAAACCTATGGGAAAAAAATAACACTTGGGATCAAGATATAAGTAAAGAAGATAAGGAGACGTGGAATTCCTTAATTAAGAAATGGCCAACACACGTGAAAGAACTGCCACGATTCGTAATACATCCTTCTGAAAAAATGTAGCTCCATGATCAAATATAGCCTATTCAGCAGCTATGTATGTACGAAATTATGAAGCGCAAGAAATCATAACCTTCTTAATATTCACCAAATCGCGAATCGCGCCAATCAAAGGCACAACAATACCCCGACTGGAATTATTAACAATACTCGTTGGAGTATGAGTGGTATAATTTGTAATAAATCAACTGGAACTTGAAAACGTACCGATAACATTATGGTCTGATTTTAAGTGCGCATTGCACTGGATTCAGAGTCATTCTCGATTATTACCGAAAGTTGTACAAAAACTGAAGAAGAAGTAAAGAAATGGAATCTGTACTACAATGAAAATGACCGCTACTGGAAATCCAGGAGCCGTTTGAATAATTTTGGAACATATGAAGATAATTCACGTTCAATCTATCTCCCAAATTTTGTCTTTCTTAAATTTATTTCCTTTTGTTGCTATAAATCATAAAGAGATTCCTTATAACGCCTTTGTTCTTTGATTGTTCATTGTCTGTATGGTAGCAAATGTAGCTAACCCTTTGTTCTCACCGCTTCTTCCTCTCCCAACATGAGATTGTCTGATGACCCCGGGGTTATCTATTAAGTCCATTATCTACCATCCTGATAACGGCCCACATTGGGTATATAAACAGTCAAACATACCAGCAGGGGTACTCTTTCCACTCATTCATTTCAACATCCGTTCTACTTGCAGCTATCATCAAATCAACTACTGATCATTTCAACTTTGATATAGAATTGTTCTGATAAAATTTCCAACAATAAAATAAATCTCAACAATAATCAATCTACAACACTTTCACAACAACAACATTTAGTAAGAAGAATCAATTCAAATTTCTTAGAAAACAATTGCAGAAACGAGATTAATGTTTCGTTGCACTGTTATATGTCTGTAGTCACAGAAAACTAGAAATAAAAAATATATTTCCGTAAATACTTAAGTGTCAGATAGTATTTCGCACTTTGTTTAGTTCCAACGAAAACTTAAAATTGTTACAGAACTGCAATTAATTCAAATTAGACATCTATTTCAATGCAAAACAAATTGCAATAGTACGTAACTGTTTTTGACAATATGGAAAGTTTTTCTAGCCGTCTATTTTAATATTTTTAATAAATTAACCTTCGACCACTTGTAATGAACTAGAAGAGCAACTATAGTCTCAGCAACTGAGTTCATATTTGTAAAGGAAACTCTGGCCAAAGTTCCATAAGTTGTTTTATCAAGGAGGCCGTTAGAAGCTGTGTATGAAATGACTGGTGTATTCCAGAAAGTGGCCATTTTTGCAACTACATCCAATTCTATAATAAAATTATGATGAAATGAAATATTAAATTATCTTTATTGCATGGGAAATTAATTCGTAATTAAATATTCTCAAATGTTTACAATGGCCAGCAATTATTATATATTATGCAAAAGTATATCGTAATGATTAAAAGTAACACGAATAAATACCTAGCTTGTAGAATATGTTTTATCGGTCTATAAAAGGTTATAAAAAACAATCTCTGGTTATCTGCCAATGGACTTTGCATAGGTGATCAAAGATTAATAGTAAAATAGTGGTCATGAATGTTTTCTAGATATTTTTTAGACACTAACTTCCGATAGCATAAAAACAAAAACCACATTAGTGGCTACTTTTTGCTAACTTAATAAAGGATCAAAAGTAAATAAACATACTAACTGTGTTGGTAAATAAATAAGTTGAAGATTTTACGAAAAGATCATAAATTAAAAAGTTTAAATTAAGCGAAAAAATAGAAAACCTGTCGCGCAAGAAGGACCAATAAAAGCACGAATCCCTTCTTTATAAAACATTTCGGCTGCAACTGCTGCACCTTCAAATGAACGACGACATCCCTGTCGAGACGAAATTCTATAAAACATTACTCTCTTTCAAAATTATAAATGCTCGAAATTACTATTTTTCATCAAAGTACTAAATTAAATTTCATTCTTAAGCTTTATTGTATCCAAAACATTGTCGCCCACCATTAAGTTTCAAAACAAATAGTATTTGAACAGGCTGAAATTGTTTCAGAATTTGAAATATCAACTTTTAATAAATTCATTACAATTCAACAAATTTTAATAAATTCATAGTCTTCAAATCTTCAAAATACAACAGAAAATCCCTTAAAATTGCATCTTGAACGACTTAGATGTTAACTTTAGCAGAAATTTAATTAGCAAATGGGAAATTAGTTATCAAAATATTTAAAAGAAATGGCTAACTCGATTTCAGTTCCTTCATCAATTATTCCATTTTCATAAAGATCTTCCATCGATATACGTAGCATTTTTTTTTCATATGGCAGAGTTTCAGCAGTACCAATATGTCCCACTTGTAGCTTTATCCGTTTTTTCGCTGTCTCCATCACCTACACTAGCTTATTATGTAAATTTTTCATAATACACATGCCAAAACTCCAAAATTTATGATCAAATTAATTCGATAACCTCATTATTTTTAGTGTGTTGTAAGAGATTCAATTCCTTATCAGAATTATAGCTGGAGTTGGTAGTTCTATTATCAGATATTTCCACTAATGCGTTGCCAGAAAAACTTTGGAAGAAAAATTGCGAAACATCCATATTACTTGTTTTACCTTTGATAGTGCTCGAAAGCAAAAGAAGCAATAGTAATTTCCATGAAATAGTTAACATTTCTGAAACTAAGGAAAAAAATGAAAGTCAACAAAAAATTGATTTTTCTCAAACAACTAAATCCAGTTCAAATGATTTCATCTTCATTACCAAATTTAATTTTTATTTATGGACAAAATGGAACTTCCAGCAACATGACATGTAAAATTGGTGATAATTATTTCTCAAGCGAACATTCCCACATATTTTCCTCATCAGTTAAAAGAGTAAAAAATTACTGAAATTACAATTGCACCAATAGAAAAGAAAAAAAGATTCAGAAATGGAATTACTAAATGAAAATAACAATTGTTTTAGGGTAGTATATAAAAGAATTCAAATAAACATTGAAGATGTTTGCATATTTATAATGGCCAGATTTACGGTTAATACATGATTTGGAATTTTTGTTTACAGTAAAGTTAAGTGAAGAAAATGAATTTTGATGTAACATATTTAGAAAACTGAATTATAAGATCAATTTAATTGCAGTTTACGGTTATTTGCTGAATGTATCCGACGCTGCAATGAAACCCATTTGAATGTGAAACATTCATTATTTAAGCGAATGATTACTGTACATATAAAATAATAAAATTTAGATATAAACTTTCTATCTGGTGAAAACATTAGCAAAAATTTACTATAATTACTTGAAGTGCTAAATCTAGCTCACCGCTAGATTTAGCACTTCAAGTCTAGCATCTAGCTAATCTAGCAGTCGGAAACTAGCTCACCATAGAAGGTTAATATTCGATACCTATGTTAAGTAAATTATTCTTTAGGCAAGATTTTATTAAATATTACATTCCTTGTCAAGAAAATATGAGCAAACATTTCTTGGAAAATATTAATTTGAACCATTTGAATTATCCAAAACGTATTACAGCAACGTACTGAAGGTTTAAAGTTATTTTTGATTAAAAAAATTTTTTTTCCAAAATTAGGCGAACAGGAAGCGATTTATGAAGATTAAACATCGCTAGTACCTTTTCCGATTTGCATTCTGGAAAATATACTAGCGACAACAAAATTATTTTCGATATGTTAACTTCATATCGAGATCAGTTGAATCGCTTCTCGAAGATCAGGGAATTCTGAATATGACTACTTCTCTTCACTTATCTTTTTTATCCATCAATGATTACTTTCTTTATATATGCAGTCGGTTTTTTCGGAAACTTTTTTTATCCTCTAATCCCTGCAAAGATATTTATTTGAAGAGGAAGATAAAGATTTTCAATGTTATTGAATGTGTATAAGGAAGGGAAATATATGGATTAAAAGGCTTTCTGATAAATTGCTTCGAGATATTTCAGATGCAGATTATCATTGTTTCCATCTGCACAAACAACAGATTATCACTATTCCATTTAATCAAAAGTTCATTTTGCAAAGCTATTGACAGCGATGATTTAAAGAAAAGAAAAAAAAGAATTAGACAATTAAATTTGATAATGAAAATTGTTTGATAATAAATTTCATTTGCACTTTCTGTTGATACGTGAAAAAAAATTATGTTAAAGGCGTATCCAAGGTAATTTGCAGACTTGGGAAGAAGGGAAAGTAAAATTTTTGTCTTTCGAACAAATCAGCTTTCAAAAGCTATTGTATTTAAGCAAATTATGTTGATTTATCACTTCATCACTCAAGTAATGCTTTTCAAGATGATAGTTATCATCACTTCATCTATCTATCATCTTTCGTAAATCATTTCTTCTCTCTCAACGGTATCTGATTGGGCCAACAATTGTGATAGTTAAGCTGATCCATGGATAGCAGCGTTATGTATTTTCATTAATCTTGAATTATCTCTTTTCAGAAAATGATAAGCTAATGAAACTAATTCTGAAAGAAAGAAAGTTATACTCTTTGAGCTACTTTTACAGTTCTTTTAACTCTATCTTTCATGAAATGTATCACAGATCAAACATGAAGAACGTCAAGCATAATTAAAAAGACAAAAATGTATTCGTTTAGCTGGCTTTATTGGTACGTAAATGATAATCAGACAGGGGCTGATTACTGTTTAAATTCAGTTTTTTGTTCGTTTTCCATCTTTCATTCATTATCATTCTGCGATATCTTTCAAGACCCGATTGCGAGAAATGTAAAGGGAATGACGAGAAAGAGGGAAAGAGGAAAAGGAAAAGTCGGAGGGGAATGAAAGTACAGTATTCAAAGAGGACAGCAAATTAGGAAATGAAAGTGAAAAATTGTTTTATAAACTGCTCAATACAAGGGAAATATGCCATACCACTGAGTTAGAAAACTTGCAAACTGTCAAAAGCGTGCATTAGATGAACTATCGATTGATTCAAGCATTCATTCAGTACGGTTCGGGAGAGAAAAAGCGGTACGTTCATATTTGTGTGTGTGTGTGTGTGTATGTGTGTGTATGTGTATGT